AGAATTAATTTGTGCATTGACCACGTCAAAAGTATTCATTATTGACCTCGCTTGGTCCAACATGAGCCAACGGACCCGATGGAGAATGGTGATGATGTGTGCATGGTGGATGTTGACGACGTTCTGGACGTGGAGGAGACGGCCAACGAAGATCATCCTGAATGGTACGAAAACACGGACAACGTCCAATAGAATATGGCCTCAATGTGGAGAACAACGACGACTTCGTGTCGCATTCTCGCGATCGCGTTTTTGCTGACGACAACATGGCGGAGAATAGCGTCGACGGCAACAATGACGGTAGGGTTAACCTGTGTCGTTACAATTTCCGTTGTATTTGTACCGTTTTACTAGTGGTATAAATAATGTTTTGGAAAAAATGTACCAGTAGTTATGGTTCAAGTTAGCTAGTAGTAGTATTATTGTAGTGGTAGGCTCCTAGTGGTACCCACTTAGTGGTAGACACGTAGTCATCTAATGGTACTCCCTTAGTGGTAGTCATTTAGTGGTAGTTAGTGGTACTTCCCTTGTGGTACCAGGATACCGATAAAAGGTTAAATAGTTCGCTTTGCTAATGCATATGTTCTTTAACAACAGGTTTGGTATCAGCCATCGTTCCATCAGATAGTTGAACATGGAATCACTTGTGTTTCCAGAACCAGGATGAATTTACACATTTCTAAAAGAGTTTTGCTCATGAAAGAGGCTTCTCGTCTGGAGTTGTTGGAGGAGTTAAGAAGAAAAGGTCATACTTCCCTGAACCATTCGTTTTCTAGTTTGGATGTTCGTGCAGCAAACAAGGGAACAAAAAAGGCAGTGGGCTTGACCCAAACAATGCATAAGAGGTCGTGTACTCAGATCCTCCAAAGGTCATGAACAAAAGAGGTCGTGAACAAGGGTACAAAAAAGGCAGCAGGCTTGACCCAAAAAATGGAAAAAAGGTCGTGAACAAAAAAAGGGGGAAAACAAAACCTCAATATTGTTTGTCATTTATCTCGTTAGATGTTTCCATTCAAAGTTGATTCATGATACAATCAAACTTGTCCCTTGTGGAAGATATTACGTTATTCGGGTGAGGTTTTGTTGTCTTTATACTTTTGTTGTCTAACATTAGATAACCATTTTAAAGTGTTCTCCTGTAAATGTACATGTACCAGTAACTATTAATGATATAAGTACCACCACTAGTTACTAGTACAAGTACCACTAGTAATTACTTGTATCGGAAATATTAAGTCTGGTACTGGTACCACTAGTTTCTGGTGCTGGTACCACTCGTCGTTTCTGGTACTTACCAGTACTATTTACTGTTACATGTACCACTGGTACTTAGCAGTACTAGTTACTCGTACATAAAACACTACTAGTCCATGTGTAATTAGAAAAGCAAGCAAAGTAGCGTTGTAACACAAAACCATATTAAGTGCTTCACCAACATTAGGGGTTTTCTTCAACAAAAATGGTTCACATTTAAAAATGCTCAACAAATGCTTCGCAAGAGAACTCATAGCCAACAAATGCTTCACAAGAGAACTAAAAAAAAGTGCTTCACGGAGAACTAAAAGCTAACAAAAGCTCAAACTTTGTTCATACTCCAAAACGTACATAAACCAATAGCATACTCCTCGAACTCTGGAAAAGAACTACTGCTTCCCCAACTAGCTTGTGCTTGCGCTTGTTCCTACTTTTTGTTTCTTCTTCTTCTTCTCGCATGGAAACTTCATTAACCCATCTCGTGGCCGTTTCTTACTAGGGCCCGAATCAGAGTCAGATGACTCCCTTTCACGGATGACAACCTGCTGAGATTTATAGGTTGTAGGCTGTTTTCCTGTAGGTTCTTTTTTCTTCCGGATGCTCTTTTGTCATCGACACGTAGCATGGAGTCTTTAATCTCGCCATTCCTGGTACCAAAATAACAAAACTACATTGTTAGACATATTTATTAAAACTTACAATACCAACACTATGAAACATTCAAAAAAGATAGTATCATGAATGCCTCTGATACGTGTACAACTCGTATTAGTGGTACACGTATCACTAGTTGTATTTATCACTAGTGTTACTAGTACGCTAACCAATAGTGGTACTGGTACATGTACCACTAGTGTTACTGATACACGTATCACTAGGAGTACATGTACATGTACCACCACAAAATATTCTACCTCTACCACTAGAACTGGTACCAATACCACTACCACAACGTACCAATTCAAAGTACCACTGCATTATACAAACAACACACAAGCTACGCAAGAAAGAAACGACCGGTATAAAGAAACCTAACCTGGTATGTTTTCAATTGTCGTATAAAGTGTCGACGGAGAAAGGAAGTCCGACGATGCACTGAAAGAAAAAAAATTGAACTGTTATGAGTTGGATTAAAGTACGATTGGCCGCTAGGAAACGACGATCGAAGAGGAGGGAAGGCCGCTGGGAAACGACCAGTTCAAGCCAGTCTCGAAACTTCAATTGAGCGGAATTTCAAACGACCAGAATCAAGAAGAAAGGAGTGGAGGAAATAGACTGGAATTACCTCTACTCTCAACGACCAAGTCTTCGAACCCAGTGGGGAAACGAGCAAGATGATGCAGGGGAAAGGAAACCAACGACAACGTTTATCGGCGACGGTGCAAGGGTTTTTTTTTTGGTTTTGGAAGCTGATGGAGGGGAGATGGAGGCTGGCCAGGCGAACGGTTTTTTTTGTGGGGAAGGTGGCGGATTAGCCTCCGAAAATCTTTCCCCTTTTAAAACTGAATTTCGCGTGACACCATAAGAGGAGTCGGGGAATGGATCCAGTGGAGCACCTCTCCATTTTGCCCCTGATGATTATCGACCGCCAGATCATGAGGAAGGGAGATGGACGACTCGGAAGGGGGAAGTGAAACTCACAACCCCCTTAGGGGTTGTGACGCTATCTAATCCCTCCCCTTTACTATATATAACCATGCATAACCTTCACCAATTAACTTTTCACCCAATTTAATTTAACAAATTATATCTCTTTCACTTTAAAGGGTCGTTTGGAGAACAAGATTTGGATGATGGATTTATTGAATCCATAAATTTAGTAAAATATTTTTTTTTTTTGCCACTTTTTGTATTGTGGATTGTAGATTTATAGATTTTAAATCTCTAAAATCGAGAGATATCAAATCTCTTCTAATTAGAGAGATTCTACATCTTGATTTTAGAGATTTTCTCTCTCTTACTCTTTGTAACATCCCGAACCTTTTCTCGACGAAGATATTGTCCGCTTTGGGCCTCAACCCTCACGGTTTTGGACTTGGGGTGCATTTCAAGACGACTTCTCATAAGGTCAACCATCCTTGTTGTACTCCACACTGAGCACGTTTAACTTCGAAGTTCTCACAAGAACTCCTCCATTACACACCAAAACGCGTCTTGTCAGTTCAGGTTGGTTTCTTACTTATGAACCATGGATCTCTCTCGAGCTTTGTCGATGAGGGATTTTCCTAAGGTGTTACATACACCCCCCTTGGGACTCAACGCTCTCGTTGAGGTTTGCCCCATCATCATTCAAGAGGGACGCGGAGAGGCTCTGATACCACTTGAAACATCCCGAACCTTTTCCCGACGAAGATATTGTCCGCTTTGGGTCTCAACCCTCACGGTTTTCGACTTGGGGTGCAATTCAAGGCGACTTCCCATAAGGTCACCCATCCTTGTTGTACTCCACACTGAGCACGTTTAACTTCGGAGTTCTCACAAAAACTCCTCCATTACATCCCAAAACGCGCCTTGTCAGTTAAGGCTCATTTCTTACTTATGAACTCTGGATCTCTCCCGTGCTTTGTCGATGTGGGATTTGCCTAAGATGTTACACTCTTTCTCTTCCTTTTTTAATTTGTCCCACTAAATATCCTAATTGATAAAATTTTCAATACTTTTTAGCCATTAAATTATTTTGGTTAAAGATAAACATGTCATTTTATAAACAAATATAATTTCTTTTTTATTGTATGTTAACAATCACAGTTATCAAACAGTGAACATTTTCAAATCTTTTTTCAACAATCCGGAGAGTTCAAATCTTTGGATTGTTTAGAATCTAGAGATTTAGACTCTAATTCTCCAAACGAGCCCTAAGTTGTCATTTTTTTTTTCTTCAAAAAAATTAATTGTGTTGTTGAAATTAATATCCACTTTGATATATTTTGGAAAATAATGAACTTGTTCCTTTTGGACAAAATTTTTTAAAATTTGAGTGAAAAAAGGTACAAAGTTTTATGTGTGCTGAAAAAATAATTTTTCATAATATATTAAAAATCGATATCATTTTGTAACTCACAATGATATACGTAATTTTTTTTTTAAACCACATTAAAACTAAAGGATAAAAATCAATTACCAAATAGAAAAAAAAAAACAAAAAGCATTTTAGTCTCAACTTGACATCTGATTATGCAATGACCACATCCTATACGTTGGTATATAATGTATAATAACCGAATTGGATCTAACCCAGTATCCGGCCGAACGATGTTTGATTGTATTTGTTTTCCTATTCTAGTCCTTTCAACACTTTCCCCGGTATTAAATAAATAAAGTAGCGTTCTTTTCCGGTGCGCTCCATCCATATCCAAGTGATGCTATTTCCGGTGCTGGGTGCTGCCGGTGGAATTTCGTAATTGGGAATAGCATTGATATGCTCATTCCAATTCCTCCATTCCAAATCCAAAGCATCTTGGCAGACACAAATAATGAAAGAAAGAAAACCCGCGGACCCGTTCCGTTCCTTCCCTGCCCTGCCGAACGAAACGACGCCTCTCCCCATCCAAATCAATGTCCCGCGCCTTTCCCGCCCCGCCCGCCATTGTCACTTCTTCATCTTCACCCCCTTTCATCCTCATCTCTTCTCCTCCTTCCTTTCCCTTCCCTCTCTTATATATCATCAGTCGTCCTCAATTCCCATCCCATCACAAACCCAATTCCCCAATTTCCCAATACTCGATTCACCCCGCTAATCAAAACCCATGCCGACGACAACGCAGCTGATTCCGGGCCTCCCCGACGACCTCAGCCGCGACTGCCTCCTCCGCCTCAAATTCCCCCAATTCCCCTCCGCCGCCTCCGTCTGCAAGTCCTGGAACTCCGAATTCCACCTCCCGGACTTCCCCCGCCTCCGAAAGCTCTCCTCCACCGCCCAGAACCTCTTCGTCTTCATCCAGGCTCGGGTCGACCCGACCCAGAACCACCAAACCTCCGGCATCGCCAAGTACCGACCCGGCCCGATCTTCCGGCTCACCGTCTTCGAACCCGCCACCGGGCTATGGTCCGAGCTCCTCCCTCCTCCGTCTTTGCCCATGTTCTGCCAGGTCGCCAGCGTCGGGTCGGATCTCGTCCTCCTGGGCGGGTTGGACCCGGAAACCTGGGAGCCTTCTACCTTGGTTCTCGTGTTCAGCTTCCTCACCGGCACGTGGCGGCGCGGGACCCGCATCCCCGGCCCGACCCGGTCGTTCTTCGGGTGCGCGGCCGACCCGGATCGGAGGACGGTGTTCGTGGCGGGAGGACACGACGGGGAGAAGAATGCGCTCAGGTCCTGCCTGGCGTATGACGTCAGCAGTGACGAGTGGGCCCCGCTGCCCGACATGGCGTGCGAGCGGGACGAGTGCAAGGCGGTCTTCCACCGTGGCAGGCTCCACGTCATCGGCGGGTACCGTACGGAGATGCAGGGGAGGTTCGAGCGAGGGGCCGAGGTGTTCGATACCGGCGCCGCGTGGCGGTGGGGCCCGGTGCAGGATGGCTTCCTGGAGACGGCGGCGTGTCCCAGGAGTTGCGCCGTTGATGACGGAGACGGCGTTTTGTACATGTGCCGGCGGGGTGAGGTGGTGGCGAGAAGGGGTGACACGTGGCGGCTCGTTGCGGTCCTGCCGGATGACGTGGGCAATCCCGAGTACGTGGCGGCCTGGGGTGAGGGGAGGAAGATGTTGGTGGTGGGGTCGGCGAGATACGGGGAGCCGCGTCAGGTGTACATGCTGGACTTGAAGGCGCTGGCGTGGGAGAAGTTGGAGACGCCGCCGGCGGAGTATTCCGGTCATGTTCAGGGTGGCTGTTTAGTGGAAATTTAACTTCCACTTTTTTCGTCTTTTTTGGGTTTTTTTTTTGTTGTTGTTTTATTATATAAAGTTGAGCACACAGAGAGGTTACTTGTTCATACTGCATAAGTATTAATATAATCCAATACTAGCGATATGGAATATGATATCTGTGGGGATATCATAGGATATAGATTTGGGGATGGAATCGTGAAACAACGGCGGTGAACCTTTTCTTGTAGGAACATGAAGTGTGGAGTTTGTTGCTTTCTGCCCTTCGTGCTCCAAGTGATTCAGGGATGGCAAAGGATTGGGACAGGGGATAGTTCATATTTATTACCCTATTTGAAATAGTTCGACTTTTACTTACACCTATATTTACATAGTAGAAATCAAAAGTACACTTATATCGATTTTAGTTTTGGGTATTCACAGTTAGCCATGGTAATAATTTATGTTTATAACTCAAACCAATATGTCAACATTCACACGTATATGCACATTACATAAGAGGAAAAATTGATGATCATTTCTAGACAATATATATATATATATATATATATGTGTATATAATCATACGGATTCGGGTTATATAATGAGAAAACCATGCACACTCATTACCGTGATATTCATGCTTGGGTTTTACTCATACCTGCTACTAAAAATAATTCGAGTTCAAATTTTACCATACGCAATTAAAACAAACTCGAACAAATATCCATTGTTACTGATCCCTATTCAATAACCACACCAATTTTTCAATTAAATTCGACGTGTTGTAACGATAAGTTTATCTTTTTCTTCCAATCTTTAGTGTCGTATACGTTGTTTTATAATTTCTACGTTTTCAATTCTATTTTATAGAACTTCCAAAGTTTATACTTTATAGCGTCATTTCACACCATATATTCATTTTAATTATGGGAGGGATTCAAATCGCAATCATAATATTTACCAAATCAATTAACTCTAAACTCTATTAAGTATTAACCATAAAATATTATATTTTAATCAAATTGATCAAATTAATCCAACAACTACATTAATCAAACAAAAGTTTAATTTGTGTACTTTGATTAATTGGTTAATTGTATTAATCAATATAATATAACATAGTCATTACGTGTGACAAAATTAACATGTTAATGCATCGACTATAATATTTGTAGTGAATAAAACATAACAATTTGCTCATAGATAAATCTTAACATAACTAATATAGGAATCTCCTACAATAAACTTATCTTACAATCATTAGAAGTAGCCACTTAACAAAAATATATACCAATGATATGTGGGCAATGATTTTGGTATATGTGTCTGAATTGTTTTTGTCTCTTAATATATATCAGTGGTTCAAAAAACTCTTCTCTTTTGAGTTTTCATCCAACACAATGTATACACTTTATCTAAATTAGGAGCTTATTTGTTATTGTCTACATTCTACAAGAACAAATATAGTAGTGTAGGAATTATTACAAGCTTTATTGGTTAGCGATGGCAACGAGTTGAGTCGGAGTCGGATAGTGCACATTTGTTACCTTACCCGAAATAGTTTGGAATTTATCCATACACATATACATATAAGAATCGGCTAAAACATCAAAACCATACCCATACCTAATCGGGGTTTAGAATTCCACCGTTATCCATGGATAATAACTTCAACAAAAAATTTAACAATTAAACATATATTGACATAACATAAGTGAAAAACTACAATAATAAATAACTAAAATGAAGAAAATTACTTAAAGATAAAAAAAATAAAAAATTGTTATATATGTATGATAAATGTCACATATGTTGAGAAAAATAATGACATTTTTAAACAAAATAATATACATGTGTATATTTGGGTGGGTTCCGGTAGGATAGTGAGAAAACCAAGCTCATCCATCATCCTTAATATTTGGGTTTGGGTTTTACTCATACTCATTAAAAAAATTGGGTCCTGATTTTACCCGCCTGATTAGGTCGGATTCAAACGGGTATCCACGAGAATGGTTATTTTTGCCTCCCTATTAATGGATAGAGAAGGGATAGACGTTTTACTCTTAAGTGGTTATACAATGTATTATGTTAGTGATAAATGATATATTAGATATTAAGCTAATTTTCTAATTAGTTAATTGTTTGAATTTGTTAGCTGTGTCTCTGAAACCAAACCATATAAATCAATGAAAGCTAAATTTAACCAAACCAAGTATTCAAATTTCCTAAATACTACCCCGTCAAAATGATTGAATGATTTTGGGGGGCAAAAATGATTGTCATGATAACCAGAACGTCTCCCATTCTAATGATTTCATCTATCATACAAGATCAAAATATTATAACAGTACTTAATAAGTTAATATCTCCCCGTCAATAGTTTATTTTAGTCATATTTCCACTTGTACCATATGATTCAATTGACAACTTTTTCAATTGAACTTTTATTAGCAAGATGTAGGGATGTCAATTTTGTCCATACTCATGGGTATTTTACTATTCAATTCAATTGAATTGGGTATGAAATCCAAATAGATGGTAAATGAGTAGAGTTTAATGGGTTTATATTCATAGCTATTTATTTGGGTTGAGTTGGGGTTTTTATAAATGGAATGGGATTTGTACCCATGCCCAAATGAAAATTACAGTTTGGTACCTAAACTTAATAGCACTGTTATTAAAGCCGAACCGCTCGGCCCGACCGGTAAAACCGCCACCCGGTCACAAAACCAGCTCGGAACAGTCTAAAAGTCGCTCTGGTTTTATGTAGCTAGCTAGCGGCAGAGGCGGTTAACCGCTCGAGCCGATCGAACCGCTCGTTCGGTTTTTGCCATTCAACCGTTAAATTTAATTAAAAAAATGCAGAAAATTGAAAATTAAAATAAACCAAAAACGTCGGACTCTCAAACTGAATCCTTATTTTCATTTCACAATTTCGAAGGAAAGAGATGAGCTCTGATCAAGAAATGTCCACTATTTTTATTGATAACGTTTATTAGGTACCGGTTCTCTAACGGTTTTTAAACGGTCTATTGCCGGTTGGACCACTAAAGTGCGAGCCGTTCGCATTATCGGGTCATGCTCCAGTTCGATTCTGACAACATTGCTTAATAGATTTACATATTTAGTACCTAAATTTACTTTTTTTGTATATAAGTCCTCAAAATATCAATGGAAAATAACATTTCAGTACCTAATTTTTTGTTATTACATTTTGATACCTAAACCTTTTAAGTTTTACAAATAGGTCCAATTTTTGTATGTGTAGTTAAAACACTCTCAAGTAAATGGATATCCATATCCAACTCATATTCATTTAGACTATGGAAGCAATATTCATACCTTACTAAAACTCATCTACAAATCCCCAAACTCATATATGCTTTACTCATACCCTATCCATTATCAATGGGTCTATTTTTCACTTAAAAAAATGGGTCTATTTGGGTTTGAGTATAATTACCCAATGGTGGGTAATTGTCATCCCTAGTCGGATGAAACAGAGCAGTGGCGGACTCAAGAATTTTACATAGGGGTGTCCTCTTTCAAAAAAATAAAGTAAAATAAAAATAAAAAATCATAGTTAATAATAATTAAATCATCTTAAATAAGAAAATACACAACTCGTAAAAGTTAAAAAAACATTCCATGGTGTATTTTCATAAATTGTAAAATACACTTGGTTCCTACATTGCTCAACAAATTTTTCTTGGTATATCCTACTAGACAATTATTCACAAACTGACGCATATTCGACTTCTAAATTTGTTCTTGATGTAATTCAAAGCTGAAAAGACACTTTCAACACTTGTCGTACAACCATAAAATCAATACAGATTAAGGATAGTTAGTAATTAGATTAATTGATAGGTTTTGAAAATAATTAAAGATAGAATAGGGTTTTGCTATTGCACAATATTTAGAATAGAACAACAAAAAAGTTGTAGCCTAATAAAAATTATATTTATTAATAATAGTAGTGTCCCGGGTTTGAATTACCCAAACTACCACTTATATTCTCATACGCAAACTACAAATGAGAGTAGGATAATGGTTTTCCAAATTTCAGGGTGTCCCGAATTATTAATTATAATTTTTTTGTCCATGCGTAAATTACCATCGGGGTTGGATAATCGTTTTTCCAAAATTTAGGAGTGTGTCGCCAAAGACCCCTGAGTCCGCCCCTGAAACAGAGTGTATTTGTACGACAGATTAATTAAATATATAGGAAATCATTTGTAAACATTACTCATGTTGAGATGCATATGTGCGCTAAATGGACTTGTGATAGTCGAGGAAGGTTGAAATATCGGCAAAATTACATTTAAAATTCATAGTAAATTTTAAAAAATAAAATAATCGGTAAGACTTTAATACCCTTCTTTAATAATTTATGTTCAAGTCAGCTTCTCGTTCAGATACCTGACTACGCCATTGAGTAGAGATAGGTATAAGATTTCTGAAAATTCGGATGTAGCGCGAAGCACCAAGAAGTCGTTCTTCAGTACCAGTTGCAGCAGCCGGTCAATTGGTTCCATGACTCGGGGAGGAGGATAATTCAGTTCAGTGTAATTAATGGGCTAGTAGAAGAAGCAGATTTGAGGTCGATGCAAATTATATACAAGCAAACAAATGGGAGGAGACTTCAACTCAGATAAGATCTAATTGTTCAAAATGCCGCCAGGTTCCCCATTCTAGTCCCAGTTGACAGTTTAAAAATTCAATGCCTTAGAATTTAATCGTGATGACGTCACTGCCCCTTCAAGGGCCAAAAGAATAGACGACCACTTTCATTCTATGTATTTTGCATGTCTCCATATGTCAAGAAATCAGAGCCGACCTGAATTTCCATCCATTCCAACAAACACTGTCATTATACAATATCTCCACAGCATTCCTAAACCACGTGGACGGTTTTTGGGTATAATAATAAAAATTCCTGACAATGATTCATTGGTAAACCTATGGAAGGATTATTGTCGAAACAATGATCAGCAAGGAAAAAGGAAGAGTATAAAATTTAAATGTGCAATATACTAATATTATCAACCTGTTGTGCCTATTAAACCATTTATCGGTGACGAAACTGGTATTATCCTTTATCAGGTTTAGGGATAACAATTAAATTTATGGTCATGGATATCTGATCGCCCCAGATTCAGTCAACGCGCAAGGTGAATTTACATATTACAAAAAAGTTTAATAGGTATGGGGCATGTGTGGTTTTAGCCTTCCCACATCATACTCATACCTGCCCCACCAAAAACATTTCTTCACATATACAAAATATGTGGTTCAAATTGTAACCTATCAACGATAGTGAGGATAACTCGAGAAAATAAATAGTAGATACACAATTGAGTGGTCACTCACCCTAATCAAAACCTAATTCCTTTCCCTCAATTCTCCATTTACTCTTTCACTTTTCCCTTTGTCAACAAAGTTAAGTTGGTTAATTATTACTTTGTAGATGTATCAGAGTAAGAGCATAATGATTTGAAAAAATATTGTACTCTATATTATGGATTACTGGATGTTTTATGATCATATTAACTTGTCTTTGTTGACTTCATGATATAGGAGGTTCATTAGTGTTATAATGTAAAGTTTTATATATAATTATGATTTTTGTACGTGACAAGTATTACCCATGGATAATTGAAAACAACAAGTATAGGATAGGTTTACAATGTTATTGTACATTTATCATATCGCTACTCAATTCAGGGCCACCTGGCGTTCCAATCCAGTTCCAACAATGCGCTTCTCGGACCGAGAAAGCGGAACTGCTTGACGTTGCATATTTGAACTCATCAAAGCTCGATTAGCATCACTATGCGCGATAAACGGAATGAGGGAAGCCCCAAAGGAAAAATATTGGAAAGAAAAAATACTTCGAAAATGAACCAGTTCCCACACAACAGTCAGGAATTCTTAACAGTATCGAGCCGGTTAGCCTCACCAGACTCATTACAGTTCATATTCCATTTTTTTCCCTTTTTTTTTCATTTTTTGTGAACACAGTTCACATTTATTTAATGATGAACTCGTGTTGTATATTTTGCAAAACTAGTAATTGGCATCTATAACAAGTATATCAAATCTCACATTATCAACGAGATCATTAAACCCACTCAGAGTTAATCTGATCTCTCTCACATTCACAAAATTCTCTCTATAGATGCTCGGCTTCCAGATCAATTCTATGCTTCAATCAACAGAGTTGTAGTAGCAACTTTGAGTTCCAGCTAGCTGGCTAACCCGCCGCCAAGTAATAACTCTACTACGAGTAATTAACTGAACGATCAGGTAAAGTTAGCCTGTACAGTTCGTTGTGCACTGTAAACCTAAAACATTTTTTCACCACCTCAAGCTAAAGCCAAAAGATTCACAGTACGACACTTCTACCGCAATAGAAAGTTTTTCCATCATCTGCGAAACAAATTGCTCAACCAATCTTCTTCTCATACTCATGAATGATATCCCAGCAGCTTCTCAGTTGCAGATAATATAGCAAGCATGGGTATTTATCCACTTGAGGTTTCAAAAACTCACAACAAAATCTGCCTTCAAGAATTGTTCTACACACTGGTCACATATTTTCTCCTCCAACAAAATAACCCTACCTATCTCCATCTCCCAATTCTCTTACGCTTTCGGCTCTTTTTAACGGTCTTTGTAATCTGTGAATCCAATGGACGACCAGAACAGGCTGCAGAAGGTATGCCAACAGATGTTCTGCCTTTCTTAGAAACCCACTGCAGAGGCAAGGTGTTTACAACCGAGCCAATATCGTTCGAACTCTTAAGTTCGACGAGTTGCTTTATTTGATCAACCATCTGGAGAGTCCATGCCATGGAAAGATCTAAAGCAACTGAGTCATCCATCGGCATCTTACATATATCCACTAAAACATCCTTAAATGATTGGAAAGACATGGAAGGCTGAGAATCTGGAGAAGATTCACACATGAAGTTCACCTTGATCACATGTTTGCAGAGGTTTCCTTGCAATGACCAAAGACAATCACAGAATGCAAATTCTGATCCCGGGTTCCAGACTACACGTGCTGGGTTTCCATCCTTTTGACTTGCAACCTTAGCAAACAGACGATCTTCGCCATCGAATGAAACAGCAGAATCAGGGATTTGAGATGCTCTGTACCATGAAGTAGAAGCAACATATTCTTCCTTTACGTTTTTGAAAGAATCACTTTCATCTGCATACCTATCTAGCCAGTAGCTAGAGTGCAATTCAGTTGTTAACTTGTGGACTAACCAATCTACTCTTTGGAGCGCTCCGAGATGTGAGTCGTCAAATAATTTTGCTTTCAGCTTTACATGATAAGCTTCAATCGCACCGGAAGCCTCTTGGCTAGCAATAGGAAGAGTGCCCATCATTGATAGCCACATCTCTGTTGTGAGAAAAAACCAGAAAACATATATTGTGACTTTCAACAAAGTACTTATCAATAAGAAATCAGAACACTTGCAAGAAAGAAAGCTAACCAATCTTTGGCACCCAAGAAGCTTCAAAGTATTGTATGAATAAAGATTGATCAGCGAAATCATGGATTAGTTCTTCCAAAGCAGTCAAAGCATTAACCCCGCTCCAAATACTATAAACGATCCTCCCAAGACGTTTGAAAATCTCTCGTTGGACTTCAATGCCACTGCACTTTTTAACAATATTTCTCAGCCATGATCTACGAACACGCCAGAGTGAGAAAAGGATAGGGCAGCTGAATACATCCCTGATCATTCAGTCACAAAATGATGAATTAGAAGAAGAATATAATCAAGCATGAAGAGTTAAAAACAAGCTTTTCAGAGACATTATCCTACTTTATGGGATCAACCTCTGCAGCGGCATCATCAATCAAGAATCCATTAATCTTCCATCCAGGCTCTGCAGATGAAGCTCTCTCGTGTAAAGCCTTCATCCATTTAGCAACATCATGTTTCGCAAAGCTACGTGTGATGATCCAAGCGACAGGAAGTGCATGTTGTCTCGAGTCAAAGACAAGAAGTGTGCTCAATGGGTACTGCCACATTAAAAGACCACAGAGATTCTAAACATCCATAGTGAAACCATTAGTAGTGACAATTTTGAATAAATAAGTAGAGATTACCTTGAGTCTCTTAATGCCAAATGTTGAGTCAGCAGCAATGAGACTGTGATGACCAAATCTTATCATCTGCTGCAACTGCCACTCGGTCTGAATGCCCAAAATGAAAGAATCAGTTTCTGAATTGTCCTGATAAAAAAATATGGATTTCTTGTTGCGTTCAACCCACATCCGGATACTTGCTTGATCATCTAAATCCAATTCATGAGTTGAACGTTTGATAATCATGCCCATCTTCTGGACATACTGAGAAGCAAGGCTGTTGACTTTTGGATCTGCACCACAATATCGTTGAATACCCTCGATATGCTTCTCCAACACATTTTCCTCGGGGATTCCAAGGTAAATCATGGACATAGTTTGTTGCTGAATCTCATTACAAATATAAGGGATTTTCTTTGCACCAGGGCCAATGGCATCCCTATCAAGCGGTCCATGACAGAGAAACCCTGATTTGTTAACATGTCGCCTGTCGTTATATACAATAAGTGCAAGTGATGGAAGGGCATATAGGCGCTTCACCACAAAGTGGCATGTGCAACCACGCATTGATTGAGGTCTAGCAGCACGATTCCGGGTATTAAGCCGATATCTTCGGCTAGGTAATATGCTTCCACCCTCCCCATAATTCTCAGGACCAAATGAGCACCAGTAACTGTAAAGCATAGGAAACCACAATTCAGAAAACCATTTTAGAAAACCAACCATTTACATGGTGCATAATGTGGATAAGGGAGATGAAGAAGCAGGGAGCTTACAGTTTATACTCCAAATAGTCATCACTCTTGTGTTCCTTCAAGCTTCCTTTAGACCTTTTCCTCCCCCTCTCGATATGGAAACGTGTTGGACATTCTATGTTAGAGCATTCCCCAATTATAAACGTATCGACGCGGTTGTAAGGAATTACAGCAACCTCATCATAACGATCAGCAGTCCCAAACTTGGTCCAGGTCAAATCAGCCGCAGAGAATTCATCCTCGGGAGGATCTTGGACCGGAAGACAGGAGATGGTTTCAATTATCTCCATGCTTTATTGCCCTAGCACATCAAGCAGACTCCCATGTTCAGCAGTCCAACAGTCTGCAAACAGCAAGACACTTCTGAAACTCAAAAACTGCAAGAAATGTAATGCGCACAAACCAGCAGCAATTTTCAGCTGAATCTGCCAACTGGAAGTTTAATTTTCTGCAATAAAACACCTCCCGTCCAAGCTTCATTTCTCCGGCAACGAACTAATCATACACAACACAAGGAACTCAATCACGTCACCGTAATCTCTTTTACCTTAAGCTACCGTCCATTACCCCTACCAAATTGTTAAACATACCTGTTCCTGATAGTCTGGGAACAAACAGGGGAAAAGCAAGAACAGTCCACCACAATCAATTCTCCGAAGTTCTAGGAAAATTGCACGTACCTTTCACTTTCAACGACGACCAGGCCTCCAGAATCGACGAGTAAGAAGCAACCAGGCAAGAAGAGAGCCTGTATGGCGGCGGAGAGAACAGGGAAGAGTTGCGTTCCAAGTGTTTGTTAATTTGCTTCAGTGACAAGTGAGTTGCCAAAAGAAGGGCACAGAGCAAGAAATTGAAACCGTCCGCCTTGCTAAAATGGTTTCCACTTCGCCAGGTGCTGCTGCTGCTGGCAACAACGATGACTCGACTTGAGGAGAAAGAAAGGGCAAAAACAGGAATCCTCCTCCGAAAGCTGGAACCCTATCAGTTGTCCTAGTAAACCTGATTGGTAGGAACTAGGAAGAGTCTGATCGGAAAACGGATCGGATAGCGGGCACCGCCTGGGTTTTGAGGAAGACCCGGACCCAAATGTGAATTGGGCTTTACAAGCACTACCTTATTTGCTCCTTTTGTGTATAAGGTTATGGAGGCCTATGGGCCGTACTTGATAGATGCAAGTGAATTCTACCGATTCAAGATTATTAGGGTCTGTTGGTCAGAGACTTAAAGGTCGTTTGGATGGAGTATTTGTATGAGTTATTTGAGTTCAAATAACTCATATCGATTCAAGATTATTAGGGTCTGTTGGTTAGAGACTTAAGGGTCGTTTGGATGGAGTATTTGTATGAGTTATTTGTGCCCAAATAACTCATATTGAGTTATTTGGGCACAAATAACTCGTTTGGTAACGTTTTACTGAAATGAGTTATTTGGACAGTTAGTTATTTACAAATAACTCAAAACGAGTTATTTGAAATAACTTATACTCATGTGTTATTTCGAAATAACTCGTTTTATCACTCTGCTTTTATCAAATATCACATGTCGAATACCACATTTGCATGGTTCAACCAAACGAGATTCTTTATTTCAGTTACCATTGAAATAATACTGAAATATCACATGAATAATAAATGAGTTATTTGACTCTACAAATACTACATTGACAATTAACCCATCCAACGACCCCTAAGAGTAGAATTCATGCCTTAAGAACTCACGGTGGCAAAGAAATTTATTAAAAACATTGTTATAAAAAAATCTATCTATTCACTTGTAGGTCACGGTTCATCGTTTCTCACTCATGTGGAAGGGATTAATCGATGGTTTTATTTGAGATATTAAGAGCATCTTTGTGAAACCAATTATATATGTTTTTTAATTACCACTACATATTTTATGCAATAAAATTTATATTAATTTCATTTTATTTACATCACAATTGCATTTTATTTTTTTAAGATAAATATACAAACATAAACTCTTAAATAATATAATAATTAAAAGATGGCAAGGCTTGCAACCAATAATTGCATTAGATACAATCTTGCAAATTTAATTGTCATCTATATCAATAAAATTGCATAATATAATTGAAAATACAAGTCATATCAAAATGAAATTTAAAATGAAATTTCAATATCAACGATCTAAAAGAATTCTTTACACCGATTTGAAAAAATATAATTAATCTCTCGTGGCTAATGGATTAATCATTGCTGCTAATAGTAATAATGAATGCTCTTATCGACAATGAATATTTTGATAATTTGTTCTCAAAATTCATTGATTAATTAGCCATGTTAATTATGATCTTTAGTTTGAGATTTGGTTTTGTCAGGACGGTGTTTTACACTCTCTCAAGAAAAAGAAAAAAAGAGCTCCGCGTTTCTCGTAGGCGGGAAATACGACTTAGGGTTTTTTCATCGGAGATCTGCGATCAAGCGCGGGAGGAGAACATAAGCCCCCAGACCCGACAGCTGGAGTGAGAAGGCCACCTGAGTTATCGTCGTCCCCAGATGGAAAAAAGGACAAGGAGACGCAACATCCCAAAAAACGTGTTCGGCCATTGAACTTTGACGGAGGAAAAAACGATATGGAGGAAGTTATAGTAGAGGATATTACCAACGAAGAAGAGATGCAAGATGAGACGGAGGATAAGCGTAACCATAGCCCGAGGGAACAGCAACAACGGCAGCCGATGGCATGGGGTTCCGGTAGGAAGAAACTCTTTAGTGAAGCAGTGCAGGAAGTTGAGTGGTACGTAGCTGACTCGGACACGGAAGACGTGGTGGAGGCGATGAAAGAGGATGACAAGTATGAGGCTGAGGTGGAGGATGAGAATCCGCTCTGCCCTACAGTGAGTTTCATGCCCTCGGAATGGCGTAAATATAGAAGAGAGTGGAGATCCGCCATTGTCGTCAAAGTACTGGGTCGTTCGTTCTCTTACCCGGTGATTGCTAAACGTTTGAATATGATCTGGGCTAAGAACGGCATTATTCAAATCACGAACACGGGTTATGGGTACTACTTTGTTCGGTTTACCAGCAAGACAGATTACGAACATGCGCTAACCGAAGGTCCGTGGTTAATTGGTGATAACTATATTACGGTACGTCAATGGCAGAAGGGTTTCGATCCCCGGACATCGACGGTTTCCTCAACGCTAGTTTGGATACAACTGCCGGACCTACCTATCGAGCTCTATCATCCGGAAGCCGTGCTACGCATTGCTAGTCGAGCAGGGAGGCCGATCAGAATGGATCGGGCAACAAAAACTGGTGCCAGGGGAAAATTTGCTCGAGTCTACATCGAGGTCGACCTCATGAAGCCTTTGCTGACGTAATTTAAAGTGGAAGGAGTGGAATATGGTATTCAGTACGAAGGTCTTACCAATGTATGCTTTCATTGTGGAAAGTATGGGCGCCCACAAGATCGTTGCCCAAGCCTCCATGCAAGTGAACCAACTGAAGTGAGAATGGAAGAAATGGAGAGGCCCAAGATGCGACGAGACGAACCCTATGGGGAATGGATGCTAGCGAAACGTCGAGAACGACGACCATACCACCAGAAACCAGTGGAGGGTGGAAATAAGCAGATAAATCCCAAACATGCCAGACCACAGGGCTCTGCGTCGGGGTCCCGTTTTACAGTGTTGGCTGATGAGGAGGCAACCGGGGAGACGAATGAGCATACCTCGCTCAAAGGGAGCTCGGATCCGCGACAGGCGCATACTAATACAAAGAAGACATGGGTTGAGAAAACAAGTGCGACCGTGAGTAAGCAAGCAGTTGATAGTGCTCATGTGGGGGAGAGTGATAAGAACCCTGTGAAAGTGGTAGCTACAAGCCATGAGCCGAGTACCCATGTGGTGGAGAGTGATAAACTAAATGAGAATAGCAAGGCCAGGGGTGAAGGACATAATCGAATGGTGCAAGAGCCCAACCGAACTGTTGTAATATCTAAGGAGGGAGAGCCTGTTAGTACTCCAATGAGTGCGGGAGGAACAAATACATTAACAGGAACCACCCAACCACAGATATCTCCGATGCCACAAACAGCTCCACCAAAGCCACCAGACAAAGGAAAGGAGGCACAATTGCTTGGTAACCAGGAAATTAATATGCGTGAGCGTCAGTCTCCTGCAGAGGCAGCCAAGCCGATCGAGACGAGAAATGTGTTAAGTGGTGGAGAGGGGGTGACCTCACAGGAGGAGAGCCTTATAGCAAAGGCTCTTTCTCGTTCCACCTAATGAAGGGCAGACCCACCTACCTTTCCTCGTACGAATGGATAAGCGTATATTTGTATGGAATTGTAGGGGAGGAGGAAGAGATCGCTTCCTGAGAGTGTTCAAGGAGTACCGAAGAAAGCACAAACCGCACATCGTGGTCATTGTTGAACCTCGTGTGAGCGGAGATCGAGCACAAAAAGTCATCGATAACATGGGGTTCGACGGACAGTTAGTAGTTGAGGCAGTGGGTTTCTCGGGTGGCATTTGGCTGCTTTCGGACACGACTATGAGTACGATTAATGAGATAGATCGTTCATCGCAGATGATTCATGTGAGGGTACAGAGCGGCCTTACAAGTTGGGTGTTCACGGCTGTATATGGCAATCCGGCCCTGATTCAACGACGAGAACTCTGGGAGTCGTTGAGGGGTATCGCAGTAGATAACGAAGAACCATGGCTAGTGGCGGGCGATTTCAACTCAATCCTTCAGGCTACGGATAAGTCAGGGGGTGCACCGTTCGACGCAAGTAAAGCCCGTAATTTCCAGGACTGTCTATTGGACACGGGCCTTATAGACTTGGGATTTTCTGGACCGCCATTTACGTGGTTTCGTGCAGGTATGAAGGAGAGGCTGGATCGTTGCCTTGGGAATATTGCTTGGAATAGGGTCTTCCCCGACTGCTCGGTTCGCCACCTGCCGAGAGTCAGGTCAGATCATCGGCCATTGCTAGTTCACTTAAACCCCAACTTTCAGCCAGCAGGACCAAAGCCGTTTAAATTTTTGGCGGCATGGTTACTTCATGATGGTTTTAAGGAGATGGCCGAACAGTCATGGGGGAAAGGAACGGATCTAATCAGCTCCATCATGGAGTTCTCACCAGCAGCGAGATCGTGGAATTACCATACTTTTGACCATATTGTGAAAAAGAAGAACGCACTCCTAGCCAGGATTGAGAGACTGGAGACGGCTGGGTAAGGTGATATAGACTCGGAGGCAATGCGTAGTTGTCGACAGGAGCTGGAAGAGGTCCTAATGCAAGAGGAACTGTTGTGGTGCCAAAAGTCGAGGATGGATTGGATTGCGCAGGGTGATAGGAACACTAATTATTTCCATACGCGGACTATCCAAAGACGCAGGAGGAACAGGATTATTGCACTGAAGGATGCTGCAGGGGTCTGGGTGGAGGATGAGAATCTGCTACTCGATATGGCCAGAACCTTTTATCAAAGTCTATACACAGATGATGACAATCCAGTCATTGCCATTAGCCATGCGTTCCCGGAGTTGGCAACAGCAGATTGGGCACACACAGCGGTGGATTTCACGGCTGAGGAGATTCACCAGGCGATCTCGGCAATGAGGCCTTTAAAAGCCCCAGGAAGAGACGGACTGAACCCCTTGTTCTTTCAGAAATGCTGGTCAATTGTGGGGCCCGAGGTGGTCAAGTTTGTGCAGAAATGCTGGGTCGATCCCGAACAGGTGAAGACGGTTAACTCCACCACTCTAGTGCTGATCCCGAAGATCCCAAAACCCGTGTTAATTGAGCAATTTAGGCCCATAAGCCTATGTAATGTCACTTATAAGATCATAACTAAGTGCCTGGCGGAGAGACTGAAACCACTGATGCCCAGACTAGTGGACACGATCCAAACAAGCTTTGTACCTGGAAGACACATAACTGACAATATTTGTATTTTGCAGGAAGTCGTACACTCAATGCGTGCTAAATCAGGCCGGCTGGGCTGGATGGTTCTGAAGATCAACTTGGCGAAAGCATATGATCGCATCAAGTGG